TCCTTGTGAAACATCGATTCAGAAACAGTGTGAAGGATGTGAAGACGCTACCTGGGGCAGATATTGACTCTGACCACAACTTAGTGGTTGCCAAGTTCCAAACCAGGTTGAAGAAAATTATAAGATTTCAAAAGCGCAGACCTTTATGGGATATGGAGAAGTTATATGCTCAAAGACAAAGCGTGCAGGAGACCCTAGAAGAGAAATTCGGTGCAATTGAAGGTGAAAGCGGAAATGCTGAAGTGCAGTGGAACAATATAAAAGAATGCATGTTAGATACTATCAGTGATTTGGTTGGTAAAGTTGAGAAGATAGCAAGAAAACCATGGGTTATACAGGAGATGATGAGTAAAATGGAGGAGCGAAGGAAATGGAAGAATGTCAACAATGAAGAAGGCAGGAGGAAATACAGGAGACTGAGGAATGAATTGAAAAGAGCCACGGACAGGGCCAAAAAGGAATATCTTGAGAAGATATGTAATGAGATTATGGAATTTCAAAGAACAGGCTGTTATGATTTGATGTACATGAAGACAAAAGAACTAGGATGGAAAGAGAATCATGGGATTCAAAATATTGGCATCGAAGACTCCCAGGGGAATAGAATAGTAGATCAGAGGCAAGTGCTGAAAATTTGGGAAAATTATATTTCAGAACTATATGATCGACCTAATCGGCCAGAAACCTTAGAAGTTGAACCGGAAGAAGAAGTAGATACAGACGAGAAAGGACCATATATTTTACAAAGTGAGGTGGAAAAAGCTATCAAGGAAATGAGGAAGGGAAAGGCTACAGGAGATGATGATGTACCTGGAGATGTGCTTAAGTTGCTGGGAGAAGGTGGTTTGAAAACACAGACAAAACTAATAAACATCGTATATGATACTGGGGAGTGGCCCAAGGACACTACAGAAGTTACAGTGATTGCCTTAAAGATAAAGACAAAAGCTACAAAATGCAGCGACCATCGCACAATAAGCCTTATTGCACATACAGGAAAGATAATAGCAAAGATACTTAAAATAAGAATTGAAAGGAAAATAGAGGATATACTTGGAGAAGATCAGTTTGGATTTAGAAGAGGAAAAGGAACCAGGGATGCAATTGGGATGATGAGAATTATAGCAGAATGAACTTTGGAGATAAATGAAGAATTGTGTGTTTGCTTCGTAGACTGGCAGAAGGCATTNCGACGACGACGACGACGACGACGACGACGACGACGACGACGACGACGACGACGACGACGACGACGACGACGACGACGACGACGACGACGACGACGACGACGACGACGACGACGACGACGACGACGACGACGACGACGACGACGACGACGACGACGACGACGACGACGACGACGACGACGACGACGACGACGACGACGACGACGACGACGACGACGACGACGACGACGACGACGACGACGACGACGACGACGACGACGACGACGACGACGACGACGACGACGACGACGACGACGACGACGACGACGACGACGACGACGACGACGACGACGACGACGACGACGACGACGACGACGACGACGACGACGACGACGACGACGACGACGACGACGACGACGACGACGACGACGACGACGACGACGACGACGACGACGACGACGACGACGACGACGACGACGACGACGACGACGACGACGACGACGACGACGACGACGACGACGACGACGACGACGACGACGACGACGACGACGACGACGACGACGACGACGACGACGACGACGACGACGACGACGACGACGACGACGACGACGACGACGACGACGACGACGACGACGACGACGACGACGACGACGACGACGACGACGACGACGACGACGACGACGACGACGACGACGACGACGACGACGACGACGACGACGACGACGACGACGACGACGACGACGACGACGACGACGACGACGACGACGACGACGACGACGACGACGACGACGACGACGACGACGACGACGACGACGACGACGACGACGACGACGACGACGACGACGACGACGACGACGACGACGACGACGACGACGACGACGACGACGACGACGACGACGACGACGACGACGACGACGACGACGACGACGACGACGACGACGACGACGACGACGACGACGACGACGACGACGACGACGACGACGACGACGACGACGACGACGACGACGACGACGACGACGACGACGACGACGACGACGACGACGACGACGACGACGACGACGACGACGACGACGACGACGACGACGACGACGACGACGACGACGACGACGACGACGACGACGACGACGACGACGACGACGACGACGACGACGACGACGACGACGACGACGACGACGACGACGACGACGACGACGACGACGACGACGACGACGACGACGACGACGACGACGACGACGACGACGACGACGACGACGACGACGACGACGACGACGACGACGACGACGACGACGACGACGACGACGACGACGACGACGACGACGACGACGACGACGACGACGACGACGACGACGACGACGACGACGACGACGACGACGACGACGACGACGACGACGACGACGACGACGACGACGACGACGACGACGACGACGACGACGACGACGACGACGACGACGACGACGACGACGACGACGACGACGACGACGACGACGACGACGACGACGACGACGACGACGACGACGACGACGACGACGACGACGACGACGACGTGGGGTCCTAAATTAACTTTTGAGTCCTTAGACAGATTTTGATTAAGCTCAATGTATGCCATTTATGTTATTCAGACATCACCATGTGTGACTGTGATTGACACAATTTGGTTTTCGATGTTGATATTCTTTGGGGAACCTGAATTCATTTTTGGACATATCTTGTGAATTTTTCAGTCTGTGAGAACAATGTATAAAGGGACCCAAATGGTACACAGGTTTTATGTTTCACAGTGGTGTATAAAGTTCACCCATTTCCATTGATCACTAATGTAATGATATGTCTTGTTAAACAGTTGAGCTATTTATGTGTTACATTTGGATATAACATGGGTTTCAATCTTCAGAGGATCACTTTCAGTGTTTCTTGGTCCTTAGAATCGTTTTTGTGGATATTAGCAACAAATCAGTCACCTTGTTATCCACTTGTATAGAAATTTGGTCTCTAATATGTTACTGTAATCATTCACATGTTTCTGATGTACACTGTAGGTTGTATGTGATAGAAGGCTTGGTGAAATAGATAATTTTGTTATATAAGGGAAGCCAGGTGTTGTGAAGGTTTACACAATTGAAATCATTTTATAACCTACTGCTATTGGCCTGCAGGTAGCTGTTATCATCTTTTCACATGTATATATGTCATGTATAGATTAAGCACACTTTTCGATGCCACCTCAAGGTTACCATAGCTGATTATCCTTGTTAAACATGATGGTCTTTTTCATTATTTTGTGGAAATGGAGAGAGGGCAGTTTAGACCCTTAAATGATGAGTTTTTTTTTTGTACCTTTTCAGTTTAATTTTTGAGCAATTTTCTTGTATGAGAGGAACAATTCCTTGGCATTGTAAGCGGCATTACCAAGTAACTGAGACCTGCCAGTGTGTAGCACTGAGGAAGCCCATCTCCTGAACATACCACAAATGCTCTTTCTACAGAAATTCGTTTCATGTGCAGCATTGCTGGTTTTAATGCTGCAGGTTTACCACTGTTTGTTCATGTTGAGAGGTCAGAACATAAAGTGTAGTCTCTTTCAGGGCAATATCTTGGTATATGGAGTCTCCTGATGGAGCAGCTAGCAAATCTGAAGTACCATTTACAAACTTGGTGCAACACAAGACAGAATGCCCTTTTCCCAGCACCACTTAATGGGCTCTTGAAGGTTAGTCTGTGTAGCAATGGTAGTGGATGTTAGCATTATCATTTTTGAGAAGGATGTAACACAGAAGTGGTGTGTTATAGACAAGGAACAGAATGGAATGTACTGTTTTTGCTTTTAAATGACGGCCTCCATTAATGAGAATCTGATTTGAGGGGTGCTTGTATTAGCTGCAGTCTGAATGTCTCTCTTATGCCTGGGATGTATAAAGCTATCGAGCAATATGACTGTGGTCTGGAGTCTGAAGAATAGCAGTGAAGTCATGACTAACTGTACGGTTTTGAATTGTTGAAAGTTGGTAAAGAATTCATGGGCAAGTTATGTGCCATTATTATGGGAGTAAGTCAGTAAGGTGAATGTACTCTTAAGTGTATATTCAGAAGAGTTTGTTTGAGAAACATGAACATATTGCCATGTGTATGGTGGTATGTGTGGCGAATAATTGTGGGTTCTAGTTGGGATGATTGGATTTATTAGCACTTTGGTTACAAGTTCTCTTAATCACACTTAAATACAGTCCTATTGCTGATTTACGCATGTTCCAGTTTGCCGTTGCACACAAACTAGGACTCCCAGTCTTCACTAGTCATCTCTTGGCAACTGATCTCAGCGCAGAAATTAGCACTTCAAAACATTATGAAGTCTTCTTGTTATTTCGTCTTCAATCACTTTATATTCCTCTGCCCTAATCTGTACTCAATCTTCACAATTCATGCTTCATTCTTGTCCTTGTACTCTCATCTGCCGAACCCTCCTGGGCTCTCTCTCCTCCAGATTACAACTGACTTGTAACTGCCTTTGAACTAAAACTGTTACTGTATTCACTTCTCTTATAAGTACTCTGCACACTGCACTCATCACTAGTCTCTCACTCTAGTCTAAGCCAAGTCAAAGTCATATTGCGACTGATGGTCAGTCAGTCAGCCAGTAAGTCTTGGTGTCAAGTCCTATCTGGGGCTCATGACCAGATATTAATTATTACCGTTTGACAGTTAACAGTCTTGTTTCTGTGGGGCACCCTCTCTGATGAGAGGATAAGTCTGTCTTTTGTATATGGTGCTGGCCCTTGCCAACGCAGTCTTTCTCAGGTCTGAGTCCCTTGGGACTTGTGACCATAATTTACTGTCTCAGATTTGAGACTTCCCTTTTCGTCGCCTCCTACAACTCACAGGGTCATGGTGGAGGTATTCAACCCTGCCTCCGCACGGAGTCTCCTAGTCTAAGCTATAACAGATACTCGTTATATAAGCTTCACACAGAACACATAGACAACGTCTTTCAGTCTTGACACCTGTTGTTGTAACGCACTCAATTGAAGGTTGTTTACAGGTCGTTGCCTAGAAATGGCAATTCTTCAGTTGTTGCCTTGTCTGTATTCAGTCGCAGGATGTTACTAGTCCGTTACCTAACAACGCACTGGCCATCCACATTACAATATGTTACTTTTTCATTGTTATCACCTCCAATTTGATACATTTATGACTGATTACCCACTATGTTGTATGTTCATGAAACATCAATTTATGTTAAATATGTTCCTTTAGTATTGTTGTGAGGCAGTACTTTGTTGTTTATTCTTTTCTTACCATTTTGAGAATCAGCAGTGCATCCTTCCATTGCAGAAGTATGTTTTTGCATCCATGAAGATTTTGTAAATTTTTAAACTGAATGAACTTTGCTTTAATGACCAGTTCTTGTGTGTATTATGTATATATTATGAACTTCTAGAAATTCCAGTATTTCTTGTGTAGATGCTATGTAAAAATAAATATCAAAATCAAACTGAAGGCTTAGGACTCTAATATGATGGCCTGTGCCGTTGAAGTAGACCAGGAATTATTTGCAGACACTGATTCTGGGCTGTGCTGACTGGTCAGTGTGCCAGTAGGTGGTGGTGTGAGCAGTTAGTAGGCTTGGTGTGAATGACTTACTCATTCACCTCCATCTTTAATGTGATTTAAAACTGTTTACAATATCTCTTTAATTTTAAAATAACATTAAAGTCCCGCCAACTGCTACATGTTTTCGGCTTACTTGGCCATCTTCAGGCAATTGTTCACTTATTGAAGCCATCACACTGCATGAGGTTTTAAGTCAATATATTTCCATGCTATTGCATATTGTTGTTCACACTAAAATGTATTTGTTTCAGAATGAAACTCTCTCTCCATTCTGCATTATTTTCCTTTTGCAGTGTCCATGTTTGTGCCCCCTTGCTATGTAAGTTCTCACTAGTTGGACATATGTCCCTTGTGTACCTAGTGCAGTGCGATGGTTTATAAAAGTCAACAGTTACCTATAGATGGTCAGGAAAGGCTGAAACATGTAGCAATTGATGTGGTTTTAATGTTATTATAAATTGAATATAAATTATATAAATATAAATATAACCTTTTGACTTGTTCTGTATCCAAAGGTACTAACCTACTTAGGATTTATAGAATGTAAATAAATTCAATTCAATTCAGTTCAATAAAGATAGACTGTGAACAGTTTTATGTTACATGAAAGACTGAAGAGAATGAGTGAGTGATACATCATTGCAACAGGATGCTCAAATATAATATTTTTTTTGAATGGTTCTGTTAGCAAACAGGTGACTGCATACAAACAATGTTTTGAGCCTTGCACAAAAAAGAAAGGTTATATTTCAGTATTAGTAGTATTACTGGTGATAAATGTTTCCTGCACATTGCTATTTTGAAGAAATGCAAGAGAGTGGATTACTTAAGTATGACTTTGTGTGGAAGGGTGTTTTTCCTAGAAAGTGTCTGGGGTGGGGGCTGCAGGTCAGGGTTGTCAGAAAAGCTGGGTAGACCTCAAAGTTGAAATACTGTTTCATTTTATTTTCAGCTTGGAGAAAAAATGAATGAGAAAGTGATGGAGTCACTGAAAGATTCAGTGAACTCAGCTGCCAGCATTGTGGTGATATTTGGGATCACCATAATCACTATTTGTGCATCCATTTTACTGGCTGTTCAGGTGGGCAGGTGTTATACACATACAATAATGCTGTGTGTTTTTGCTTTCTCATGACAGTAAATATGAAGATTGAAGTCTTCTTGGATGATACCATGTATTGCTGCAGATGAACACTAGGGTTTCAGAGTAATCTGCCTCCTCCATCTTCAGGATACAGAAGAGTAAGCTGATGTGGTATGGATACAGGGAAGGGGGGCCAGAGGGTGGGGCTGTGAGTGGACCATTGTGAACCTGTGGCTCCGCAGTGGTCATGCTGGATGTGGGGGGAGGTGAAGAAGCATAGGAGAAAGGAAGGTACGCTGAAAGGAAAAAGTAAAATAAATTAAAGATGAAATAAAATAATAAGAGGAAAACATGTGAAGAGTAGTGGAAAACGAACCAGGAAACAGTGGCCCTGTCCTTTGATTACAGCCCTTTGTAGGACCACTTCTTATGTCTTCCACTTATTTTTATTTAGTATATCTTTAGTTTGTTTTATTTTACTTTCCCTCTCTTGCCCTTGGTACTTCCTCCTGCGCTTCTTAATTTTTGTCCTTTTGGCATCTGCCCTTCTGATTCCTTTCATTTTGCCCATAGCTTCAGTGTATGTCCAACTTTCCGTGTCCAACCCTCCTGTGCTTACTTGCATGACCAGAAGATGGATGCATGAGTTTACTCTGAAACTTCATTACCAATCTGCTGCAGTAACCCTAGAGCTTATTGGCCAGGAGTTATTAACATGGTTTGCTGGACCAGTGTAAAATATTGCCATCATATTGCAGGTGTATGCTGAGGGCATTCACTTGGTGTACATGGGTGCCAGTGTCATCAATAGCACTGTGGTGCAGAATTCGGATATGCTGGGTGTTGTTCCCGAGGACTGGCAGGATACAATGAATGGTATTCTGGACAACGCTTACACATATGGGCGAGAAGGAATTTCAAAAATGGTAATGTGTGGTACACCATTACCAGGAACCTGTACAGAGCTCAGGAGTTGACATGAGTTGTCTTTAACCTGATAGTATGTAATATTGCAATTACACAGATGCCATGGAAAGAAATCCCATGGATGCTAGTGATGACAGAGCTCAAGGCTTGCTCCTTTTATGCCCGTTGCATTCCTTTTCATCCCCTCTGGCATATGTCAGCCAGCAGAGAGTGCTTTCCATTGTGCATGGCTATCATTACCAACATTTGTGTCAGTAGAATGGCTAGACAACTGCAGGACAATATAGGGAATTCTGCTGAACGGGGAAATTTAGCCACCCAAGGAACATGTAAAGTGGCTTGATCTGTGAGACTTGTTGTGAGGGTTTGCACTTCCTGTTATTCTCGCTATAGACCTATGCTGTGTGTAGTTGTCTGGCAAGTTGGCAGTTATAACACTACTTGCTCTGAGTATCATCATACAGCATTAGTACAAAGTGTACTGACAGTAACATCAGTAAGAGAAAGAAAGGGAATTTCATATGTTGTGGAAATCAGAGATGGAGTCCTTTATTGTCCAATGATTACTGTTAATGTTATTATAACCAGTGGTGATTTTGCAAAGAAAAGAAAATTCTAGTTGCAAAACATTCCTGGCTGATGACCGGGCATGACACATCAGAAAATCACTGCCGATCCTTGACTGTTATATGATAAATATAACCTGTGTGTTGGTAATTTCATAATGGAGTGTGTGACAGTGTAAATGGTTTTCAGTTCAGTGGCTATGAGTGACAATGATGCCATGTTAACATTGAGTGACAGTATACTAAATAAGAATTGTCATGGATTCTTATTAAATTTACCTAGTTCTCCAGTCTCTCAATTATAACATGAACCAGTTAACCAAGTAAATAAGTAACTAATATAGCTAATAAACTAAATAACTAGCTAACTAACACTGTGATATCAGAACCAAAAGGCATTACACCATGGGTACCCACTGCTGGACGTTACTCTTAGCCAATTCATTCATCTCTAATCTTTTCAACCTATCATTCAAAGATCCATGTTAATCTTACCTCCTGTCTCCTTCTTGGTCCTCAGCCAGACCTTTTTAAGAGATTTACCATTAAAATTCTTCGTGGCATGTTTGTTTTTCTACCACAGTTACAGATTTAGGGGAGTTGTGCATGCATTTCTTGGCTTATATGACGTACTTCTGCTGGCACATAATGATTTCTGTACTCATATCTGTTAGCCTAATGGCAAAATTTTGAAGACATTCCGTGCATGGCAATTGTTATATTACAGTATATTTCTGAAATGCGCTGTGTTAGATTAAACACCACTAATATTACTAAGTAGAGGCTTGTCACTCAGAGAAAATTGTTCCTATTAGTCTTGACATCTGTGTGTCTACTTCTGATAGGTTCGTAGTTGGATGAAAGATGTGGATGATCAAAAGGCAGCATTGCTAGAGAAACAAATTCTGGAACTCTGGGACAGAGTGTACCAGGCCTGGCTGATGTCTTCAACAGAGCCATCTGTAGGCCCAACTGTAACTACAGGAGCAGTCTTCAGTAGCTGGAATAATTTCATAGATGGAATGCAGAAGACACCAGGTATCACCAAATGAGTAGCTTACTACAAATGTTGTGTCTTATTTGAAGAGTTCAACATTTCTTTCTTATACCCAAGATAGGGACTAGCTTTATTGATTGTGCCCGAGTGAGCAGGTTCCACAAGAAGATGGAGACAGTATCCAGCCTCTGAATCATTGTGTATTTTAAATTAAAGCAGAATGATGGATAAGTCCAGAAACACAGTGTTTGTATTAATATACTATCATCACAAACTTTTAGGTTTTCTTTTAAACCTAGATAAGCTGTTTTGTGCCATTCTGAATGTCTGATGTATGATATGTAAAATCGTTTCCTACCACAAACCTAACAGTGAACACCCAATGATATTATGACATTAATTTAATAATCTTAAGTCCATAAATGTATGGTCACCAGGCCTTTGAAGTGATTTGCAAGTGTTGTGGTACAGCTTTGGGATGTGGCTGTAATCCTCATTCCGAATCATCTTTTAGTGACATTAATGTATTTCAGTTTCTTGTTATTCGTTCTTAAAAAGTCTGGCTGCTAGATACTGTGATAATGAAAAGGAAAGCAATTATGTCACAGGTGAAGAATGGGCACTTCTTGTAGCTGACAGTAGAAGTCAGCAGTGGTCATGACAACAGTCCTTGTAGATTTAACAGTAGTTACACATTAAAATTTTCTTCATTTTCACACATTAACTAGTGTTCTTTGGATAAGAAGATGTGGATACAAAGATTTCCGTGTAAGAAGTTAGATTTGTTAAGTCCCACCGAAGATCACATAAGGATGATGTAAAATTTTCCTGCATATAAATATGCCATGTAAAAAAGTTTTCCCACATTAGAAATTCATTTTCTTCTGATTTCCCATTTAATATGTTTAAAATAATACTGATGAACTGCACACAAATGTGCAAATTTAAACATAAAATGTTCAAAGGCTTTACAACCATTAGTCATTTCTTGATGGTCAAACTGTACCATAGTTCATAATTGATCATGCGTGGACCGCTTCATAATTTGTAGCTAGCCTACTGGCTGTTCATTTCTGGTTCTACTGGTATCATTATTCGTCTTTTGCTAAGTGAAGTATGTCATTGAGCATCCATTTCTACTCATTTGATTTACAGCATTCTCTGGTGAACTTGGCATTATATGTTTCCCCATTCATTTGTACATTTAATAAGAACAAGAAACTGTTGATATTGCTTCTGTTGTGATGTAAAGTAATATAAACAAAATGTGGTGGTAGTTCCAATTAAACAGGAAGCATTGCCTTTTCAGGAGAAAGTTAACATTATATAGAAAGTGGAAACAAATCTGAATACAGCGTGTGTTCAGATTTAATTTTATATTTATACAGTTGTTTGATGGTCCATTATGGCTATGTTTTATAATTTTTTCGTTATTACTAAAGTAATAAAGAGCTCTGGTGTTCCACTGTATTTTCAAGTTCCCTGGTAACATACATTTGTGTTTCTTACAGATGAAATAATATAAAACAATTGCTTCAGGTAAAAATACAAGTGCATCCAGAAATGAACTTAATTTTACATTTCCCTTGTAATAAGTTTTCCCATTAAGATTGTTTTTTGCTGGTCCTCTCAAAAACTATCTTGTCAGGGAATACTCTATTTATATTTATGTGACTCATCAAGTTTGGGCACATCTTGATATAGCACCTTTCACTGAGAACCACTTGATTAAGTATCTTGAAGTATGGCCACTTTCTCCTGAGACATAGACACTATTGAAGTTTTATTGTTGCTCTCTTTTCTGCTTCCAGAGCTTTTCAATGTAAATGCAATGGTGACATTTGCAAAGGAGAATGTGGAAACATTAATGTCTGTGCTGGACTCTGTGTGGAGTATCTTGAAGGGCAACTTGAGCCTTGCATTCTATTCATTCACTGCACTGATTGGTATTGTGTTTGGTGGTGGCACTGCTGTTCTAAACTTCATCCTTAACATGGTATGTTACAGCGCATATACCACTGTCTAGAATATGTTTGCTGTTCTTTGGTAGTGATCAGAGTAAGTTGATACAGCAGCTGGATCCTTGTTTTGTTCCCACAAGAATCATAAACTCTATTTCACAAGGATGGTTCCTGGTGTTGCAATGCCTTCGCTCAGATACACATGTCTATAGCTACCAGCTGGGAGATTAGCCTGTAGCTCTTGCTTTCACAAGCTGGACATCTTTGAACTTTTGACTTGGAAGGGAGATACTCAGGATGAAATGTTGTCTTTTGTTCATGCTTCACTTGTGAGTTGCGTGTGGCATGTTCATTAGCATTATAGTATCTTATTGCATTAGCAGAGTTGCTGAAACTGATGGGAAGTAACATTACTAGGGATATGTGTCGATGTACCACTAATACATGTTTAGCCAACTGAACAGCATGCAGTTAGAGCTCACACAGTACCCATAATAGTTGGGGTTCACTTCTCAGGAGGAGCTAAAATGTTTGTTTTCCCTTTGACTGTGAGGCCCAGCCATATTTAGGATATTTAGGATCTGTGGAGCCTTATCTCTTCTTCCTCATGCATCTGCATAACGTGGTGCCTAGACAGAAGGACAGATTGATATTTAACCTACATGGCAGACATGGGAACCCAGTAGCACCTTCAGCATATGGAGTGATTATTTCGTAAATACGTAGGTAAGTCAGTAAGTAAGTTACAAATGGATATAGAACTTGAACAAATAAGAGTACTGGTTTGAAAAATGCTTTTATTTCTCAACATAATCTCTCTGTACATTGAGGCCCTTCTCCCATCATTTCACAAGCCCCTGAAAATCAGCAGCATAACATTCTTTGGGCTGCTGTCGGAACCAGGCATGTTCACATGGCATGACAGGTTAGGTTTTCGCAAAGTCTGTGCACAGTGGGCAGCACACATGCTGACCCCACAGCAGAAAATGCAAAAAGAATGGGTCTGGCATTACAGCATCGCAGTCGCTACCATGATGAAGGACACGATATACTAGCCCAAATTGTCACAGGTGATGAGTCTTGGGTTCACCGTTGCCAGCCTGAGACAAAGCATGTGTCAATGCAGTGGAAACATCCTGCGTCGCCTTGAGGCTGGAATGCAGTGAGCAGAATGCCTTCATGATCCCAGAAGACTGTGAGCATCACTTTCCTGGAGGATGGTGTCACCTTAAACTTGGCAGGCGACGCAGGATGTTTCCACTGCATTGATGCATGCTTTGTCTCGGGCTGGTAATGGTGAACCCAAGACTCATCACCTGTGACAATTTGGGCTAGCATATCATGTCCTTCATTGTGGTTGCGATTGAAATGCTGTAATGCCAGACCCATTCTTTTTGCATTTTGTGTTGTGGGGTCAGCATGCATGGCACCCATCGTTCACAGACTTTGTGAAAACCTAACCTGTCATGCATTATGAGGTGGGCCATGCCCTGTGAACACGCCTGGTTCCGACAGCAGCCCAAAGAATGTTATGCTGCTGGTTTTCAGGGGCTTGTGAAACAATGGGACAAGTGCCTCAATGTACAGGGAGATTATGTTGAGAAATAAAGGCATTTTTCAAATCAGTACTCTTATTTGTTTAAGTTCTATATTCATTTGTAACTTACTTATTGCCTTACCCTTGTATATGTATTTCTGTCGCAATGCAACACAAGATTGTTACAGTCACTTTAATCTTTGTACACAACATATTTTGGCCATTACGGTCATGATCCGCTGTCTTCAGTATGCTAAACTGTTCACTGCACTTCTTGCCTCAATCTTAAAATTACAAAAACAATTGTGATTAAAATTCAAATTAAAATGTTCAGATTTTTATGTTTCTTTTGATAATGGGAAGCTGAATTCTCAAAACTGGCACCATATATATTCTGTGCATTCTGTTTTTGTTGTTGCAGTGATTGTAACAGTCTTGTGTTGTATTGTGATGGAAATACAATAATATGGAGTGATGTCGAGATGATGCTGTATAATGGCATAAACAGTACCCTCAGGCTTGACATGTGCTTGTGTCAGTAAGAGGTGTACTCAACCATGGGCCAAGTGACTCACTCCAGATGCCTCCAGGACAGAAGGAAGAACTAACGTAAAATGAAATCATACAGAATAGTGCCCTTGTTAACATGAGAACATTAGTATTATCTGGGGTAAGGTCACTGCAAGGCCTGTTGGATGATGGTAATGCAATATGCATGATTCAAGAACTTCTGAGATTTGAAAATGTATGAACTGTGGTATGTCGCCTTCAGACTGCAATCATAACACCCACCAAGCCTCAGCCAGTTACAGGATTTGAAGTGAGGTGACAGAAAGTTTTGTTGTTTTTGCTTTCATATGTCAATTGAAATTGTTCTCTCTGTATATTTTTATGTTGAGTTGTTCACCATTGTAATCCATAGCATCTTTTATTGTCATAGGACTATCAATTGCAGTACAAGTTCTTGAAACTGGTTTAAATTCACCATTGCTACAAAATGCTTCCCTTGTTTAGAATGCCTCTGTCAGTTCTACATTTTTAGTAATACAAAATAAACTCATGATTATTTTTTATGGTAGTGCATATTTTTAAAAATTTTAAAAAGTTTTCATCAACCAGCCTCACATGTAAGCTAACATCATGCGTTGTAGGCAACGTGTATTAAAAATTCTTGTGCACTGTTCAAAGATTGGTGTTTCAAAACATGTAAAAAACTGTATAGTTGATGGCATGTTGAATAGACCACAACAGTGTGCAATAAGAGAATCTCTTGAGCTTTCTTAAGCTAAAATTACCAAGATCAAAAATTTTTGCAAAGGATTATAATAATAATAATTAAATGATACATAGGACTATTACAAACATGTGCACTATTTTGTCACTAATTAATTGAGAGTTTATCTGCCGTAAGTTAACGGGAAGGACTTACTTCTATAAGCATGAGGTTATACTTGCTGGGAGCTCTACATTGGACGTGTATGGTGTTGCCCACAGTGTGGTTGCAGCTAGGCTGCCCAAGAGTGTAAACATAGGCAGTTCTATTTCAGGAGACAGTGTGTATATCATTTGCCCCATCTTTTAGTAGATAAAATAAGCAAGTATACTGTCACATTTCTGTTCATCAGTGGAAGTGTAAATTGTCCTTAATGTTCATGATTTGTTGTGTAGTCCAGTGTTCCGCAACCTTTTTCTACTAGCGGCACACCATTAAGTATCCATGAGTCAACACGGCACACCAAAATGTTATTCCCATCAAAAACGCATGATATCAGACAATTAATATAGATATGTAGAGTGTAGAAAATACACTTTTATTACTATTAAAGGAAATAATTCTACTCATACCTTCAATGTAATACTTGCACCTGCTTAGCTGCACACGGGCGCCTGATCCATGGTGGAATTGTTGACAATGCAAGTCTCATTTCTTCATCAATGGATTTGAATTTGCAATGAATGGATTATGAACCCAGTCAAAATCTTGTACACTCTCTCCAAAATACTTATTGAATTTCTGCTGCAGCATTTCAGAATGTTCTTTAATTGTGTCCATCACCACTTTATTGCCTTCAGCAAGTGGCCGTACAGTTGGGAACATCTCTAATGACCCATCTGTAATTCCCTGTATCCAGAAATTCAGCTTATTTACAAATCCTTGTATCTTATCCATATTAGTTAGAATATTTTCGTTCCTACCTTGCATCTTTCTGTTCAGCTCATTCAAGTGTATGAAAATATCGGAAAGATATGCCAACTTACATACCCATTTATTATCTGCAAATAAATCCACGTACTCATGCCCTTCAACAGTCAAGAATGCACGTACCTCCTCATTAAGTTCAAATATTCACGTTAACACTTCTTCTTGTGATAACCACTGTACTTCCATATGTAGTAGGAGAGTAGTGTGTTCTGATTCCAATTCCTGACACAAAACGGAAAAAAAACACGAATTTAAGGGCCGCGATTTGATGAGGTTCACGACTTTTACTACTTTGTCCAGCACAACTTTCAGAGAAGATGACAATGACTTAGCAACAATGGCTTTGCGGTGAATGAGACAATGATCACATCATATGTTAGGATTTGCTTTGCGCACTTTAGCTACAAATCCTTTAACACAGCCTGTCATAGTCTGTACAAACACTAACGCAATCCTTCAATTTTAATTCATTAACACATATTCATTAGTGACATGAAATACTTCTTCACCAGTGGCTCGCTTGGGAAGTTCTTTGCAAAAATAGAAATTTGTTGCAATTACATCTCCATCGATGTATCGAATGTAAGCAAGAAGTTGTGTGTGGCCGCTAATATTGGTGGACTCGTCGATCTGAAGTGCGAACTTCTGACTGCTGTTAATTTTCTCTTTTATAATGGCTTCAGTGTCACTGGACATGTCAATAACTTGACGACTGATTGTGTCAGCAGAGAGAGGAATTGTTGAAATTTCACTAGCAGCTTCTGAACCCAGGACTATTTTCACCATCTCTTTACAAGCATGCATTAACAACGTTTCAGTTATTTTGTGTGGTTTTTTGGCCTTTACGATAATTTTGGCTACCTTATAACTTGCTTCCTGTACTTTTTCTGACACACATACTGTCACAGTCATTAACATTCTTTGTTTTTTGTGTTGTTCCAACAAGCGATGAAAATAATTGACACCTTTGCTTGTTAGAGAAGAATGTTTTGTTGACGAACGTTTCAATTTCCTGGGAACTATAACAGCATTACTGAGTTTTTCACCACAAACGATACACTTTGGGATTGGGCACGTTTTATCACCACACCAAAAAACCTGTAAGATAAGTAATTAACACTATACTGCTTGTGTACTAATTTTTGTTTCTTTTTTGGGGAGGGGGGGGCTCAGTGCTTTCATTACTTGCGCTCGTGGACAAAACACTCCATATAAGGAATTTATCCATCTTGAAAAAATAAAGTAGTCTAATAGTAATAGTAAATAGCAAGACTAATTAGCAACCACAATTTTCAAACTACTTCAGAGCACAGCTGTGATAGAACTGAAACAGTTGTAAGACATGGGACCTCTACTCTTCAAACGGAAGAAGTGACACATATACCGACTTATTTTTTAAATATTTTATAATTTTAAATGAAGTGCAACAATCAGTGGGTGCGTCGTTACAGGAAGAAAGTCATAAAGTTGAAGAAGCTCTCACTTCTAAAAAACAGGGGCATTTACCAGTACAGCGTTATAAAAGACAGGGAAACCCTTGCTAATCCCTGCAGTTTTAGGGAAAAGCACATACACAGAACATGCGGCAAGTATATCAAAGAAGCTGCGTAGATGCGAGAAAAATAAAAATAAATCAATAATGATAACTATAATATAACAACAACTGTGAGTAAATAATTTATGTTTAATTTATTAGAATACATTACTGTACATAAAAAATCACGGCATGTAATAAAGAATAAACAAGCATCAGCTTATTTAATTAGTGCAGTGGCTGAGAATAAAATACAAGCACGTGAAACACGGTAACTGGGATAAAATAAAATGAATAAAATTCGACATTTAATTTCTTACAATAGGTAAAAGTTTGCGTCCACCTTTCACCTTATGACGGCACACTGGTTGCAGAACATTGGTGTAGTCAGTTTTTATCATGATTTGTTCCATGGATCTCTAAGATTGTTTGTTGCCATGTGCATGTATGACAGGTTTTTAGCCATTCTTATTGAGTCTGATGCTTCATGTGTGTCCCTTACATCTGATTTGGATTTGTCTCCCAGTTTTACCTGTATAGGCTTTCTGGCAATGTGGGTGTGTTGTAAATGTAACTAGTAAATGCCTGGATTGCCGTATGCCTTTATGATTGGTGTTATTATCATATTATTAGTTTTAAAGGCTTTTTATACATTTGTGTGTTTAAACAGTTTTGCTACAGACCTAATATAAAGCTCACCCATTTCATCATCATCATCTTTGTCATTGTCATCATTGTCGTCATTGTGTAAGGGATGGGCCATAAAATCTGGCCCTTGCACTGCGACCTTCAGTGATCTGTTGTGCTTCCTCTTTGGATTAACCTATTATTAATCCTACACTTAGAATGAAATGTAGGACTTTATTTATGGGGGAATCATAGAAATCACTTGGTTCCATAAAGAACTGGCCCAGGTGACAAAATCTTAAATAAGCTATGGTCTCACAATCACATAGGGTGTGTGTTGATGATTCATCTTGTAGGCACCTTTCACAGGTTGGTTCTTCTGTGAATCTCAGATTAAAAAAGTGTCCTTTTAGGTGACAGTGTCCAGTAAGTAATCCTACCATCCTTATTATTACATTAATCTTAATAATAAAATCACCACTGGATCCATCTTGTCTCAGTGGATTATGGCGAGGGCACACAGTAGGGATGGACAACATAAAGGTCATTAGTTCTGGAGCTTGTGTTAACAGGATGAATAGGGCAGATCAGATATCACTAATGATATTGTTTCTTTGTTGTTATCACCCCATGTGTTCTACTCACTATATTTCACAGGGCACTTTGTTATGTAATACACATGGAATATGTCTTATACTTACACTTGATATCCTGAGTCACGTGACCTTGCCCACAATTTGGAATGCATGAAAGAATTGCTTCTTGCATTGTTTGTTTGTTTGTTTATCACTGTTATCAGCATCATGCAGAATGTTATCCAGTGTCATTTTCTCAGGGTTAAGTCAATATGTAGAGAAATTATTGTAGATTATCTGTGTGGGTTTCGATGTAATAAATCAACTACTGATCAGATCCTTTTACATTTGTCAGAAATGGGAGAAAAATTTGGGAGTACAGTGAGAGTGTACATCAGCTATTTGTAGATTTAAAGGAAGTACTGTAGAATGTACTTATTCGATTTTGGTGTACCTGTGCGAGTAGTTAATCTTATTAAAGTGTGTTTATATGAAATCTACAATAAAATCTATATAGATAAATATTTGGTTGATACATTTCTTATTAAAATGTGCAGGAACAAGGAAATGCTTTATCGCCATTGCTTTTCAACTTTGCTTTAATATACACCTTTAGGAATGTCAAGAAAACCAGGTAGGGCTAAAATTAATTGGGACACATCAGCTTCTATTCTGTGCTGATGATGCAGACATACCAGGGGATAACATAAGTAACATGAAGAAAAACACAGAAGCTCTAGTTGGCACTAGAAAAGATGTTTGTCTAGAAGTAAACTCAGAGAAAATAAGTTTATGTCAGTGTCTTGTCACCAGGATACAGGGCAAAATCGTGAAAATATAGTGAAGTTCAAATATTTGGGAATGACAGTAAGGAATCAAAATTTGATTTGTGAGCAATTAAGAGCAGATTAATTTCTCTAAATGCCTGCTACCATTCAGCTCAGAACCTTTTGTCTTCTCATCTGCTATCTAAAAAATTAAAATATACAAAACTATAATTTTGCCTGTAGTTCACTTTGTCTGTGAAATGAAGGGGAAGAACATAGACTAAGGGTGTTTGAGAACAGGGTGCTGGGGAGAATATTTGGACCAAAGGAGGATGACATAAAGGGAAGCTGGAAAAAATTGCACAGTGAGGGGCATAAAAATTTTGCTCATCATGTATGATTAGAATGACCAAGCTCAGGAGGATAAGATGGGCAGGGCATGTAGTTCACATGGGAGAGAAGAGAAATGCATGAAGGATTTGGTTGGAAAGCCAAAAAGAAAGAGACCGCTATGTAGACATAGAGATAGATAGGAGGTTAAAATTAAAATTGATCATGGAGAAGTAAAATGGGTTGGTATGGACTGGGTTCATCTGGCTCAAGATAGGGACCATTGTTGGGCTCTTGTGAACATTGTAATGAACTTTCTTGAGCAGCTGGGAAACTGCTGGCTTCCAAGAAGGATTCAGCTTCATGACATCAGTAGTTATATCCTTGTTAAGTAGTTTCTTAGTAACCCACTTATGCAGAAGTGTATTTCAAACATTGTGCCTACTTTAGGAGAGAGGCTGTATACTGACTTTATGTTGCTGTTGCAAAATCTGATACGGTTGTTACTGAGTGAATGAATTTGTTGACTGGCTTGGTGTACAGCACGAATTAGAAGACAGAATGGCAGCTCACAGGAAGTCTGACTGCATGAACAGATGATCAGCTTAGTAGAATTGCAAAGCATGTTACTCTGGCTTACATTAGCTGAAGGACTGCTCACTATCTCAGTCTGAATGTTTGTTCAGTGGTGTGTAGTAGTGGACATGGCTGTTATTTTGCAGAGTCTACTGTCATCAGGTGGACGGGTCTAGGGATCGAGACCACCTGTTTCTTGTGGATTGCAGTAAGAATATTTTCCCTCTTATGCCTGACAATGAAATATTGTTTGAAAAATTCAAGACAGTATGCTGTGTCTAAAATAATAGCCAAGTTTATCTCCCTCCAGGTTCCTATAGGTCCAGCAACAATGGTTTTCATTGGTTAATTGGACCCTTATGCAGTTCTAACCATAAGTCTTGTAAGTTAATTAATTCAATGCAATGCCATGATTGCTTGGTTATTTACTGTCTGGTAAGATTTTATGCTGGTGTCATGAAGACTGCACACACATGTGCAAGGAATTATCTTGAATCAGCTCGGCATTCCAGAAACTTCCCTAATTCTTTACAGTAATGGTGTAGGTTGCGTAAGTGGGTTTGTTGCCCTTAATGGCAAACACTCACTCCTTGTACTAGTGCCAAACCTTTTAAACTATAGTTATGCATTGTCTGCTCTGTAGCTTGTCCCACTGAAGGGTCAGGCCCCAGGGTTACTGTGATCCCTTGCCAGAATATAGCATTTGAACTTGCAAGAAAATATGAAATTGAATGTTCCACATATGTGAATAAAATATTGAAGTGAATGGTTCCAATATAAAACCATCATAAATGCTTGTTATAAGAGTAGGAATCAAGAGCTTATACTAAGAAATGTAATATATTGCTTTTGTTGAATGACGTGCATTGTCTCTTCCATTACAGTTCAGTTGTCCCTTTGTTGTTCTGGTTCATTTGCAGTCTCAGAATGTTGTGCATTGCAGGTGGTGTTCCTGACGGCACTGTTCTACCTTCTGAGCTCCAGTGGACAACTGTACAAACCTGTGGACTTGATCACCAACTTCAGCCCCAACATGGGAAACAGGTATGTATATATATGTTTTATGCTGCATTCGTTAACAACTATGAAATGCGTTATTTGATGGGTTCAGTACTTTTGCTCCAACAAAGAGTTGTAGATGAAGTTGGACAACAAATTTGGTGTACCTGTCCTAAAATTTTATATCAGTGTAACCACCTAAAATTACTAATCATTTGTCTGAATTTTTTTATTTGTTAACTGGGCTTTAAGTAAGCAAGTATGTCACACAACTTGGATTTCTTTTGTGGTTTTGGAGCAAGAAATCTTAGCAGAAGGAAATTTCTGCCACCGTAAGACAAGTTGAGAGGGGTCCAACTGGGTAGAGTCGATGCTGGGGCCGATGGCTTCCAGATGTGAAATGCGTTACATAGGATTACGTGACTTTCGTTCATTTTAACCAATAGGAATGCCTACTTTCAATGCTGGGGTGAGGAACTCTGTTTGAATCCAGCCAATTGGCAGTGAGAAGAGGTATTAGCATTGGACACTGCCTGGAGGTGATGAATTGCTGGTATGAGTCATATTGTGTGGTGGGTTTTTTTGTTTCAGCTTCACTGGTGAATGGACAAGTTTTGTGACTTTGGAAATTCGTTGTAATAAATTAATAACAATAGTGGCTAAATTGACGCGAGGTAGAACTCGAGCACATCATTACACCTCATTGCTTGTGTGAATTAAGTAACTCATTGTTGTAATAGTATAAACTGGTGAATTAAGATACATTTACCATCAAAGTGAATCTTCGTGACTTGTCGTATGGTGCATGAACGATGTGTTTCCCCGATAATGCATCCTTTGAGACAGAGTCAGACCTTCACCAGCTGAGTTACATATCCTTGCCCATCCACACCTCAGTTAACGCCGCCCAAGCAGGTGGTCAGGTTAACTTGGATAGTTACAACAGGGAGACGAATATGAGAAGGAAGTAGAGTAACACTGCGATTACAGTGGATGTTCTGGCTGTAGTCACTGTGTGGCCCCCCAGTGTGATGATACTCTCATGGACATGTGATCAGTATGGTAGTGACTGAAGGTTCTGCTTATTTACATTTGTTATCTTCTGGTCTGAATGCCACTACTCTTGCAGTGAGGTATATAGTTCAGCAGGAAGTTTTCATAACTAGGCTGTATGCTGAATGCCTGAGGAATTGTGGTTCTGTTCCTAGAAGGGGCAAGAAGAGAATTTTCTCCTGAGCATAGCATCCACACTGACACTGATTCCTACACAGTCTCCTTTCTAGTGGGGTCCAGAGCCTCTTTCCCTGGGGAGAAAGATGGCTGATGCTTGAAGTGGCCATTCAGCTCCATCTCATGCCAAATTTATGTACTTCCTCTATCCTACAGGTCTTCATGGCCACAGTTCTCAGTTAAACAAAGGGAAACTTTACTTTTAGTTTACTTTATATAAGAAAGAAAACTTATAGCAACTGCATTCAGAGTTTCATTTATAAATAATTCCCATAAGAACAAGTTCTGACAGTCATATATTTGAGCTTGTCAAAAAGTATTGGATCTCTGGTACAGTTTGGGCAAAAAGAACCATCCAAGAGGAATATATTAACTGAAGAGAACTGAAGAGATCAGTGTTATGGGTTGGTAGGACACTTGGCACAACAAACTGGGGTTTTGCTGGGGCCTGCATTCACAGCTAAAAGTTTAATTAATGACATAATGTGCGTTAGCTTCAGAGAATGGCTTATGCTATTTTAACATTATTAACACAGTACAATTATAGCATATCACAGAAAACACCCAAAGCTGATAGCCTGGTGCAGTGTAGCTGAATCACCAATTTTATTTGCCTGTAAAGGGGTTTAAAGTTTTTAAATTTAAAAATAACAGTATGTTCCCATGTGGTGTACTAAGGTGATAATGCAACAATTTTAGCAAGAGCGTACATACCTAATGATGGCCAAGTGAAGCTGAAACATATTCTAATAAGATACATGGAAGATGAAAATAAGCATTGCATTTAAGATGGTGGTTAAAGGTGTGTACAAATGGCAATGATACTAGTGGAACATGATGCTGAAGTGCATCATTATGCAGCAAGAATTCACTTTTGCAACTGATTGCTGCAAAATGTGCACAGTGGAGTCATGGATCCACAGCTGCTGCTTGTAACAAGTGAGCCATTATCTCTATGGGCATGTCAGTATGCAGAATGTACAAATATGGACTGAGGAAAGTCCTCATGCCATTCAACAAGAACTGTTATGTAGGGGTATGGTGTGCTGTAAGTCTGTGTCAAACTGTAGACCTGAGATTATTTCAAAAAACTTAATTTAGATTGGCTCATGAGTAATATGTTGAATCCTTTTAGACCCAGAGTGTGCGTATCACGAAACTTGTTTTTGTGTTGCAAGACATGTTTGAAGGTATCAGGAGACCACTTCTGGCAGTTCTTCTACAATGTGCTAAGTTCAGCATGTTTTTACAGTGATGAGTAATGGAGTTCTGTGTCAATTGAGGGAGCCAGTGTTATGTATAAGGAAAAGCTCTTTGCCACTGCCCTTATGGTCACATGGTAAATTACCACTGCACTGTCACAGTGTTATGTTCCTGTCTCATTTGGATGCTCTGTATTGAGGGCAACCCTTTCCATGCTGATTTTTGTTTTATTTTAGTGAAGTGGCATATAGCTTTACTTGTTAGATATAGCAAGGAATTTTAAGGACAAGGGAACTATTTGTAACATGGGAAGGGATGCAGTAACTGTGTGTGTGTGGGGGGGGGCTTTAGTGTACAGTTGTGTGTTTTGCATGATTCTTATTTATGTGTGCTTCTAATACTGTACCATACAGGTTAAGTCATGGACAAGATCACTTTGAACCATAGGAATAAATTGACGTGAATTGAAACCAGATGAGGGAAATGTTGACATACGTTCCTGGGTGTACCTATCAGTAGTTGGCAAGTTAAGGAGCTGTAATTTTGATGAATGGTGTAGCTGGAGTCACTTTTCTATGCATATTGTTTGGGACTGCTTCATGTGGTGCAGTGTCTTACTGAAAGTCATGAACATTTGTGTGAAAAGGTTTTAATTTAATTTAATTCCTCTTTTGCAGCAATGAAGAGTAGGCTTTTTATGTACTTAAAATACTAAGCTAAAGTGTTGTTGTTACCAGGTTTGCTACAGCCATTGAGACAGCAGTAATGGGTGTGTTTCGTGCCTCTTTCAAAATGGCTGTGTTCTATGGCCTTTGGACATGGCTCATTCACAACTTGTTTGATGTTAAAGTGATATATCTGCCATCTGGTGAGTCACAGCTCCTTAACACACACTTTTTATCCAGCATTGTTAGAGTGCTTCAATCTAGGAGGATGAGGTGGCAGGACATGTAGCACACATGGGGAAGATGTGAAATATATGCAGAATTTTAGTTGGAAAGATTGAAAGAAAGAGATGACTTGCAAGATCTTTATATATATATATATATATAGATCTTGCAAGTCATCTCTTATATATATATATATATATATATGGGAGGATAATTTTAAGATGGATGCTAAGGAGATAGGGTGTAAGGATTGGGACTGGCTTAGGATAGAGTTCAGTGTCAGGTTCTTATGAGCCTTCAGTTTCCATAAAATTTTGGAAATGCCTTGACCAGCTTCATCCTATTAGCATGACAACAGTAGATATACATCTGAAACAAGTGAACATCAAGTCCAGTGAGAGATGCAGAAATGTAAGGAATATGTATTCAATTATGTGCAGCTTCACAGTCTCTCTTATTGTAAGGAACTTGCTGAGTTGAAAGTATAAAATATATACTGAAAAGTGGCAGGACTGTTACCAGATGGTGCTACTGGCAGGAATTCCAGGTGTTTTATTGATACCAGACTTTCCCAGCAAAGAGCTGTAGCAACATGTATTGTCCATTGATATTGTAATGTGGATGGCACAACAGGAAGTAGGGGTCACGTGAACCCTGTGGTCTCACAAGTGACGTCACATACCCCCACCCCTTTCATTATTACGCAACGCTCGGTAAACACTCCGTTGCCTCCTGCGGTGACATCACAGCACTTCCCATTGTGACATAACAGGTGACACCGCGGTTACTACACAGCAGTAAACCGCTCTCGGCAGCATTCCCCAGCAACGCCTGTAAACAAGACATTACGCAACAGTGGTAGCTATCATGTAACTGTTTTCTGTGTTGTCAGTGCGGAAGCTACATAAGGATTGGGTAGTGAGTATTGAGCCAGTTACTAGTATTCAGTATGCATTGCAGTCCAGCAGCTACGAGTTGAGTTGTATCGAGTGAATGTCAGTGACTCCAGCAGGAGAAGTAATTGTGATACTGCAGATTGCAGTAATTGGGAACTTGTGAATTGTATAAGTGTAAGTGCGAATGTGCAATAAATTTGCTAACATCCAAGACAGTGTGAAGTTATTTGTCGCGTGACAATATTAATTGTCTGGACACAACTGAATCCAAATATGTGACCACGTAATATTAACATATTTGTTTCACATAATGGCACCATGCAGATATCTGCTGTTTGAGTATCAGATGTTGTTGACACTGTGGATAATTGCTTTAATCATGTGACATGTCAATGCATTGCCAAGCAGTGGCTTGATAAACACCCTGCGATACATGCATGCAAGGATAGGACAAATGTTATAGCTCGTTGTTAGGCAACAGTCAGCGTGCCAATGAACTGGTGAGATAGCAATCATGTGGGCTGCACCATGCCCTGTGCTAAGCAACAGAACTGTAAGCACATCTACAATAACAGAAGGTGTTTTCTGAGCGTGGTCCATGCTGAAGGTTTATAGGGGACAACAAAGTTCATTTGCGAGTAGTTGCAGCTGAGGAACTGTGAGTCAAGGACATGAAGCCATCTTCAAAAGAACTGAGTAGAGAGGTCAGTCTCTATGGGAGGCTGTGTAGTTAAGAGTTAGTCGCAAGAGTGTGGCTTTCAAGAGAAGACTTGGTGTGTAATATTTGCAGTGTGTAATACAGTGAGACTGTTATAGTTCCTCTGTTTTAATTATGTTACCAGGAGAGAACTAGAGTGTGCATGTGAGAGAGAGAGAGAGAGAGAATTATAAAGTGTAGAAATAGTGGTAGCCCTATAATTATGTGTAATTAGTGGTGGTGTGTATAGGGAGTAAATAAACCTGTTCATCCAATCCAGAACCCATGTTATTAGTCACTAATACATGTGACACAAAGGTTGGCAGCACATGATGGAATCACGAGATGCCAGTGCTCAGCAATAAATTTGCAAATGAATGGAAAGTTTTTGAGTTTTAGGATGTTCATTTACATCTTCTTCTTCTATGGTGCAACAGCCTGATGTCGGGCCTTGGCCTCCCTTATCAAGCCCCTCCATTCCTCTCTGCCCTGCGCTGCTCTCTTCTGGTTCCTTGCACCCATTCACTTCTTCGTGTCTTCTTCCGCTGCATCAGTCCATCTAGTCCTTGGTTTCCCAGCATGTCTCCTACCGCCTATTGTACTGTAGGCGGAGGTAACACGCGGAAGATGAACACCTTAGGAAATGAAACCAAGGATGCACCGTTAGGCTGTTCGGGATGAACAACCTTTAAAAGGGAGTAATGTAACGTGTTTGGAGTAGATACTTCCATGGTAATGCAATAACAGTGGGCCGTTGCGTAGACAATGCTGAAACAACGAACACGTTTCCCCGGAGATGAACAACAGAAGGCCGTCGAGTAACGACAGATTAGACAAAACTCGTTACCAGTGTATAAAGAGCGTTCCTGAAGCAACGGATCGCCGAACACATGAGACCGAACCTTGGAGAGAAGCGTCCTCTATTGAGTCCGCAGAACACCCACATAAGCCGAGAGCTACAGACAGCAACACACAGTGGGAACCTAGTCGCCATACAACACAGTTGGAAGATAGCCGCCGCAGAATACAGTTGAAGTGTTAACAATCATACAGTGTGTAAGAGTGAATGTCCAATAAAGATTCACTGAATCCGAGAACCACGTAAAGTTATTTGTTGCATGACATACCCAACATGTGACAATATTTTCTTTGCGATACGCTCCTTATCCATTCTCTGTACATGCCCAGCTCATTGAAATCTTTTTAGCTTCATCGTCACTGAGATCTCTGGCTCCTTATAACTCTTTATTATATCTTATTCTCCATATCCCATTCTCTTTTATTGGTCCATAAATTTGCCTTAGGATTTTCCTCTTGAATGAATTGATGACTGATTCCTCTTTCTTGTTTAGCATTCAACCCTCACATCCATAATAAAGCACCGGTCTTATCATTGTTTTATATATTTTTGTTTTAATTGCTCTGTGTATGTCCTTTGATTTAAAAACTGATAGTAACGAGAAATATGCATTATTCGCTAGTTTTATTCTTCTTGTTATTTCATGATTTTCCTCTCCATCTTTGTGGAATTTTGATCCTAAATGTATGAAGTCTTCAACTATTTCTATGGCGTCCCCTTCCATGTTAATTTCTCCAGTTTGCCTTGGATTCCTTCTAGATTGTATCAGCATTTTAGTTTTATTTACATTCACCTCTAAGCCAGGTGTTTTTGCTATGGTTTTTATTTCTTTATATGTCTCCTTCATTGCTCTTAGGGATCTCGATACTATAATATCATCCGCATACACCATTATCTGCTTTTTTTATATGCTATTGTGTTCCTTGTGTCTACATTACATTTCCTCACTATTTCCAATACCAAATTAAATAGTGATGGTGCCAAACTATCTCCCTGTTTTAATCCTTGATTTGTCTTAAAGCATTCCGTTAACTGGTTCTGAATTTTAACTTGATTGATTGTTCATTTACATACTCTTAGCAAATTATGTTGATGGATGATGTTTTTGGATTACAGTATATTGTCTTTTATCTAATTACTGATGCTTTACCAGCTGCATAGGTTGTTTCAAATGGCAAGATTTTTGTGTACAGTAAATTGGAATGAAGTGGACTGAAGTAGGTGTGCCAACTTTAATTTGTGGGGAGAGCTGAACATGTTGATCAGTATGACTAATTTTTGTGTCAGGAGTTGAATGTGAGACCTTGTAAGTGCTACAGCATCAGCAAAAGGGCCATGTGGTGGTGTGTATCACTTCTGACATTTTTGGAGAACCTTTAACTTCCAACTTCACAGTAGAATAATTTTTTTCAAATTATGAAATGTTCTGTTATGTGTTTCAGTCTAAAGAAGTTATCCGCCACTTTGAAGTCGCTGTTAATATTAATCAGACAGGTGGTATGTATTGTAGGCTGTTCAGAGAAAAAAATTACTATTCTGTACTGTGTACGTTGACCCTTTGAAGCACAATGGTTATTGTATGTACTACCCACTTTAACATTAAAGTTTCTGTATTTTGCTCACAGGTTGTACATGTTTTGTATGATCATCAGATTAAACTGCATTTATTTCCCTGAACTGGATTGATTGGTCCGTTTTTTGTAATGGAGACGATGTGTTTTCTGTATGGTGGGAATTCAGTTATTTAAGTGTTATTTACATGAATTTCAGGTTTCTGAGTGTTGACCTTCTGTTTGTTTTATAGTGCTGGCAGCCACTTTGGCAGTTGTGCCTTTCCTGGGTACATACTGGGCTTGCCTGCCAGCCTGTTTGGATCTGTGGCTAGGCCAGCAGAAGGGGGTGCAAGCTGTGATGCTGTTCATGTTTCAGTTCCTGCCATCCTCCTTGGTTGACACAGCCATCTACAAAGAAATTAAAGGGTGAAGTTTACAAGGGTTGATCAAGGTTGACTTGGACTTTTATTTATTTATTTATTTTTTTTTTTTAGAAGAAGACTATATATATCTGCCAGAATGACCAAACTATCACTCCTTTTCGAGATATTCTCATTTTACACCAACACATTTTTCCCCATTTTCCTGGCAAGGTACTGATGCCAGCAGCATGAAGCGTTTTATCCTGACTGCGTAGCCAGTTCAGGACACCACATTTAAGTTTGTCATCAGTTTGAAATTGTTGTCCTCCTAGGTACATCTTCATTGGACAAACAAATGAAAATTACTGGGGACTAAGTCAAGGCTGTAAGGACGGTTATGATTTCTCAGCCCATTATTGCCATTGTCACCTTCGTGAAATTTACTGTATGCGGACAAGTGCTATCTTGCTGTAGGCTGTTTGTTTCCCAGATTTCTTTCTTCTGAATCACTTGCTGCACATTACTGTGAAGCAGCTTAACTGTAATACTGTAGTTCTTTTGGCTTGTTTTGGACTTCATCCATCATCTGGTATGTAAAAGACAAAAGACCACGATGTTTTGGAGACTGGATCTGTCTCCGTCTTCAGGTGGGTAGGGAAGGATAAACCTACTCAGTTGGGCCCGTTAGAAAGAGTTAGTCTCAATCACTGGACAAACCCGAGTGTGTAGAAAACAACCTATGAACAACCAACAACCGGTTCCATCAGTGGGAGATAAGAATAAAATCACAGTAAAAGACATGATAGAATGATGATGACATGTGCATGCTTGGCACAAATTTTCTATCATGTCTTACTTTGATTTTATTCTTATCTCCCACTGATGGAACCGGTTGTTGGTTGTTCATAGGTTGTTTTCTACAGACGGGGGTTTGTCCAGTGACTGAGACTAGCTCTTTCTAACGGGCCCAACTGAGTAGATTTATCCTTCCCTACCCACCTGAAGACGGAGACAGATCCAGTCTCCGAAACGTTGTGGTCTTTTGTCTTTTACATACCAGACGATGGATGAAGTCCAAAACAAAGCAAAAGAAGTACAGTATACACCATCGTGAGAATCCTTTCAAGTCTATCTGTAATACTGTACATTAACTAATTCACTGTATGGAAGAAAATCAACATGAATCACTCCTTCTGAATCCCGAACACACTTGCCATGATCTTACCAGCCGACGACTGTGTCTTGAATTTTTCAAGTGTTGGAGATCCCTTGTGACGCCATTCAGTGCCGGACTACTTTAACTTTAGAGTGAAGTAGAGCACCAGCATATCGTCACAGGTCACTGTTCACTCTAGGAGTATGTTTCTCTCCATTTCAAACCTGTACAAATAGTTGACAGACACAACAGTGCATTTGCGCCTTCTGGTTGAACATTGACTTTTTTTGGACCTACCAGGCACACACTTTATTGAACAATGGGTGTTTACAGACAGTTGTTTCAATGCTTATGCCACTGTTGGATGTGGTATCATGCACTGTAATTTGCCTGTTTTCCAAAGTCAGCTCTTTGACATGGCAAGTGTTCACATCACATAAAGCGGTTGACTGAATGCGAGCATGCAGCAGGTTTGAGACTTCTTCACAGCCTTCCAGAAACTTATTGTACCAGTCATCAATGCTTGCTCTCTTTCCAATACTGTGCATTTAGCCAACAATAAAGTCCCCTTACATAATTTTCATATTATATCTTTAAAGTGATATGGTACACCACATCATTACATCAGCCCCTTGTTTCGGAACACACTGCACAGCCCTTGTAAGTAAAATTCCATCACATACCCCCGTCATTAATCTAATGATATATTTTCCAAAATTTAATATTTTAAAATATTTTAAAATTTCAGAACACATCCAGCTTCTTGGAATTTTGAAACTTACAGCATAGAATTGTAATTTGGCTTGGACTGACCAGAAGGGACTGTATGCATGAGAGAATGAAGTACAGCATGAGAGTACTATATAAATTATCTAACAATATCTGAACTGGACTAAATTTACAAATGTTCAATGAAATGGAAATAATGTAAATGTGTATGGTGTAACATCTTCATCTTAATACACATGCCTGTGTATAGCAGAAACAAAAAGTCAGATCCTACATAATTTGTTGCTTTTTATATTTTTATACCTCTCTGCATATTTTTAAAATCTTTACATGTATAGTATAGGAGTATTACTGTTTTTTGTAATCCACCTGATGATAACTGGTTTTGGTTGAAACATGTAATGTATAGTGATTAACAAATAGTGCCATCTTGCATGCAACACTTTTTATATAATTTCTGTTTCAACACTAATTACACATATATAATGTGTCTTTTAAACTCATTTTAAAACTGTATTGTCACTACATGTTTTGACCATCATACAGTCATCATTGGGTGTTATAAAATTGTTGGATGGAGACTGGTGTTCTTGCTTTGGTCTTCTTATATAGGATGTGAAGTCCCATGATGTGTTTGTGATTTTTGTGGTGCTGCATGTCTTCTCTTGCTATGTTGTTTGTTTAGACAACAAACAATCAGTTAATATGCAACACTGTGCTATGGTATAACATTATGAAGTGTATTGTATATTTAGATATAAAAATCAAGAAGGTATTTTAATGATGGCTGATCTCAGGCCTTAAAGGACTGTCAACTTGACTGTTACTGACTGTGAAGGTGCAGTTTTATGCAACATGACAAAATGTAGTAATTGGAAATACTGTCAAGAGTTCTCTCTTCTGGGATATAATGCTGTATAGTCCAGTGATAGTCAACCAGAGTTTCAGAGGAACATATTGCCTCCATCTTCAGGGTCTAAGAGCTCTGCTTGCCACCTGCTTTCATGCTGGTATCTTGCTTAGCTTGTTCTTGGACCCTGAAGATGGAGGTGATATGTTCCTCTGAAACGTCAGTTGACTGGCAACAGATTACATGGCATTTTATCCCAGAAGATAGTATTCTTCATATCTTCTGCTGTGAGAACCTCAAATCCTACATAGAAATATTGTAATGTAGCAGCTTTTGCAAGCCTGATCAGCAAAGTCTACTTTTCCCTCATCAGGGTGATATTTGCTTTCTAATGAGCAGTTGTACACTTGTATGGGTGCTTCATTCACTTGCAGTTTCAGCTGGACAGAATTCTAGGTATGTCACTGAGCAGGACCAATGATATTTATGTCTCCAGAGGTGGACATCCATATTTGACTGGCCTGTCAATAGCAGGGGGAATCTTCTGCCTTGGTGTAGAGGGTGCTATTGTTGGACCACTCCTGCTGTGTGGCTTATTTGTAGCTATTAACATGTCAAGCTCACTGATGAAGGAGAGTCCATCGGAAGCAACATTCCCCGCCACACTCAGTAGCTTGTCTCTTAGCGATCGCCTTTCTCACATAAATCGGTTGAAAAGGTAAGAATTTGATTTGCTATAGATATTTATTTATGTTTGATTATGTTTATACTGCAAATATATGTATTTTTAAAATCAGGTTTGCCTGATACTATTGTATGAACTTGCCAACACACACCAACCAACAAGTTCAGCATTGTCCAATAGGTGCCACACCTCCAAGTAGTGCTATGGTCAAGAATGGTGGAGTTACACGTCTACTCCCCAACATGTTTTCATGGCATCGTTGTTAATTAATTAAGCACAGGAATAACATACCAAATTTATATCATTGCACCTCCTTCCAAATGTTTATCCACTGTTCATAATCATTTTTTCACTTGTTGAATTAACATCATTAAATAACACTGATTCAGCATCACCCTCCTGTTTAATGACAACTAAATGTTAATGCCAATACATTGTCTTGATACCATCCAGTTGATTTTAGAAGTGGACTTCACTGAAATACAAGTAAGTTGGTTCCTGCGTGTTGGCTGCTTTAGAACCCCACAAGAATCTAAGGCTCAGTGATTTCATTGGTTGCAGTGTTAGTGTAAACATCAGAAGCTCCAGCATTTCAGTGGATTCTGTGTTGTATTTTGCTTGGCTTGTACAGTGAACGTATGTTATGTGTGTTACATACAGGATGGACACCGTGATGTAGTTGGTTGGGCACTCCTTCACGCATTCTAGCTGCTTGTTGCCACATCTCCCATTTCAGGTAGGTACTTGGCATTGTGTATTGTACAGTATGCTAATTTGTAATGTTACTTCTTATGGTAGAGTTCACAAATATTGGTTCCCTCAATTTCATTAGCATAGAGGTCTAATGTTGTGAAATCTGTTGATGGCCAGTTCCCTTTCCTTTCATTCACCTGTCTGTGTGTGCAAGTGTGTGTATAGGAAAGTATCTGAATAAGTATCTACAATAATTAAAATTTCAGCCTCTGAATTTTTAAAGGTTATGTTATGAGACAGACTGGTATGGCATACTGTATTGGGCCACGGGATATGGTTGATTACTTGTCAACAACTTTTGTTCAGTTATGGTGACTGTTCATTTTTGGTGCACTATCATTTACAAGGGAGCATGCCATAGTGTAGTTGGTTGAGGCACTATGCTACAATCCAGAAGGTCACAGGTTCTATTCCCAATGAGGTCATTGAATTTTTTTTTTCAATTTACCTAATCCTTCATATTTGCACCATGGCCCTGGGATTGACTCGGCCTCTAACAGAAATGAGTACCAGGAATCTTATGGGGGGTAAAGGGTGGCTGACACATAAGGCTGACAACCTTACCGCCATCTGTGAGCTGATTATCTAGAAGATGTGGGAGCATTGACGTCTGACAACCCAATGAGCCTCCATGGCCTGTTACCAGGGGTAGCTTTACCTTTACATATCAAATACAAATTGCAACAGTGCACCTATTAATATGCCATGTCTTGCTGTCTATTTATTTCTCAGCCTACATATAAGAACTCAAGAACCACAGAATGCATTCTCATGAAATTTAATAGCAAGGAGTTTTACTAACATTTCACAGCATATTCGAGTTTTTGTTAATTCTGACAGCAACAGTGGACACTGCACAGGAGACCTGCCAGGGCCTGTCACCATCTCTTACTGTAACTCATTAAGTATTTGTCAAGTGTTTTGAACAAAAACTGTAGACAAAAATAAAACACGTTTCTGCCCAGTTCACTTTATCTGTATATCTTATGGCATTTGACATAATTTGCTGGGATTGTTATACTGTGTATACCTTTTGTAACCTACTGGGAATGGTTTCTGGTCAGAAAACAACCTTGAGGATGGTGCTTGCAGGTCTGTGTGTACATTTGCATATGCTGTTGGTTGTTGCTTGGACACTATGATGTGTTAACACTTTCAGCATTGTGGATGTATAACCTCTTAGCTCAGAAGCAAATCTAGTTCTATTTGATACAGAAATATTCTGCAATTATATGACATGACATAATTTTTTTCTGACTAAGGGTGGTGACCTTTTGTGTTGATGTTTTTTATGAGAACATTGTTTTTGAAGGCTGGTATTTCAGAAATGCTTCAGATACACTTATTTTAGATCAGCATGAGGTGTGTGATTGAAATACAAGTAGTTTCTGCATGATCTGTTTCTGTCCTATTGAGCCGCACTTCCTCCTCTTCGAAGACAACCACGCTCTGCTACCAATTGTTGAGCCGCTTCGAAGACAACCGGAGCTCACAATCGACTGTTTGTCTCGTGGTGTTCCAATGCCTCCCCAAAGTGGAAGGGGATCTCAAGGGAGGAACCGAGAGGGTTAGCTGGCATAGGCGTTGGGCAGTACAAGTATTTCAGCAGAGTACAAGAAATCATAACAATCCAGCTGGCTTTTCAATAATATAAAAATATATTGCAACAAAAGAGT